AAACCCTAAACACTAAACTAAAAGATCCAAGGCCTTAAGTGGCAGAGGCCTCGATTTGGCTGTAGCTGAGGCTACGACCACGTCCTCCACTACGGTGGCCACTGTCACCGCAACGACCACATCAGGGACCGAGTTTAGGCTTAGTTGGGGTGTAAACCCAGAGACTCCAAAACCCCTTAATTAAGGAACATACCCTAAATTCGAATATTAAGGCTCCTATAATTCAAGGTATATTCCTTAATTAAGGGATATTAGGGTTATTAGAGTCTCTGGAACCCTAAACCCCTACGGCTCAGGTCTTGCAGTGGGCAGTTTTCTAAATTCGGGTCCATTTGAGGGTCCTGTTTATAAGGGTGCCGTACTTTATTGGGGACCTACAACGGGACCCTAATTTAGAGAACTAGGGGTTGGTGTTGTGGTTCTGGCTTACAGTGTGCAGGAGCACGACATCTTCGACCACAGCTGCAACTACGTCTGCAACGACCACGTCGGGAACAGCGGCCGAGTAAGGATTTGGCGAGTTTTTTGTTGGCTTTAAGGTATCGAGGGTCGATTTTACTCCTCATCACCTATTGAAGCTCAGGCTATACAAACCACAACCACCGCGACATCCTCAACCACAATCACATTTGCGACTGCAACGACCACATCGGGCACAGCCGCCGGGAACTGGATTCGTCGATTTAGTTTCAAGGAATATTGGAGACTTTATAATTGGAGTAGGGTTTAGGGTGATATTTCGCTAAGGAATAATCCAGGTAGTCATGTGTAATTTATCGGTATACTTATTCCGACCATTCACATATTACACTGAGTTTTGGGTTTAGCTTCGAGGATCGGGTCTCTTGTCCAAGTGAGCCGTGGAGACAAGGCTTCTAAGTTTGAAGCCATGGGCCCCTAGTATGGGCCCTTAACCTTGGGATCCTTATACACCTACTATATACCCTATATGTACCCTTAAGGGTCCCTAGAATCCCCCTAGAAGGCCTAAGGGTCCATGTTAGGGGCCCATACTTCTAACCTTAGAAGGCTGACGCCTCCATCCAAACTACGACCACCACATCCTCGACCACAGAGACGAGTGCCTCTGCAACGACCACGTCGGGGACAGCCGCCGGGCACTGGAATCGTCTACTTTCAATTAATATAGGGCCCCCAAAAAGCACATAAGCTAAAAATAGGATAGGGATATCCCATATAAATCCCTCTTTGGGTTCCTAAATTAAGCGTGCTGAGTTTGAGGGTTTTCGTGCCACGCTGAATGCAGTGTTTTCCGCGTAGGCTGGCGCTGCCACCCAAACCACGACCACCGCGATGTCCTGGACCACAAGCACGACAACTGTAACGACCAAAACGGGGACGGCCGCCGGGCACTGGATTCGTCGAGATTCAGTCTGCTATTTTTCAGATGTAGACTTTAGACAGAATGAGGATAGCGGACATTGCTGCAGCTTAGGCTGATGACGCCACCCACACCACGACCACCACAACATCCTTGACCAGGATGTCAGCCACCATCACGGCTGCTACTGCAACGACCACATCGGGGACAGCTCTCGGAACTGGATTTGTCGAGTTTCAACTAATTGGATTTAAGAGTCATTTAACTTTTTAGTATATGTTTTGGCCTTAATGGGCTTGCTGTACAGGGTTATGTCGGGTACTGACAGGTCTATAGGTAGAAAATGGGCTCATGTGGCATCCGGAGCTCCGAAGTCCAGGCTGATCTTGTCATCCAAAACACGACCACTACCACATCATCTTCGATCACAAGGACCACGGCCACTGCAACAACCACATCGTGGACCGCCGCCGGGCACTGAACTTTGATTTCGCATGAACATCTCTACGATCCTCTTGAACCCTTACATAATCTCTACACCCTTCTTGAACACTTTATCAGACTATGAGCTTCGGCTTATATACTTAGAGGTTTTTCTTCCCCTGCAGCCAAGGCTGATTTAGTCGTGCAAGCCACGAGCTCCACCACTGCAACTAGCTCCGTCACAGCTTCTCGGCCCTGTTTCGATCCGGTTCAGGGCTTGTTTAGGGTAGTAGTGTTTAGGGTTTAGGGTTTAGGGTGGTAGTCTTTAGGGTGGCAGGGTTTTGATTTGAAGTTTTTGGGTGGGGAAGAGCGTGGTATCTGGTCTCGGGTGATGGTGGACTGCATTTGCTGGCGATGCACCTTGCAATCGCACCCTGAAACAGAGCCCTTTCCTAAAAATCTGAAATTCCACCAGAGCCCAAAGTGCCTGAAATGCTAGAAGCCTTCTCCTAATGGCTCGGAGCTTCTACACGAGCCCTCGTACCTCAGGTCTCAGGCCGAAACCGTGCGTCTTCAAAGGGTCTCAGGTGCTGGTATAGACTTTCCCAAACCATAATCATGATTCCTGATATTGAGACCCTACATCCCGCCACATCGGTCCTGCGGAGCCCTTAAAGGAACCCTAAACCCTCAACCCTAAACCCCTAAAAGGAACCCTTGAAGGCACTTTTAGTAGGTACTTAGGACCCCGTAACCCTACACCCTAAACCCCTAAACCCCTAAGCCCCCAAACCCCAAACCCCAAGCCCCAAACCCCTAACCCCTAAACCCCTAAACCACTAAGCCCCCAAACCCCAAACCCTTAAACCCCT